TAGCTAGCCTAGTGTCCGATTTTCAAACACGGCTTCTCTCTCTTGTTGCTTTCTTCTTCAATGTCTGTCTTGGTCCGATCGAATCAAAATGCACGTGGAGATTGGAATCTCGCGGACGTGCCGGACAAGGCCCGCAGCGCCAGGTCAGGCACCCCCCCCCCTCCCTCCCCGGAGACTTCAATATCCCAAGTGCCGTGCTGTCAGAAGAGAAGCTACAGGAAAACTAATTAACCAACTTTTCCGTTCGGTCACGTACATTTGACATATTACACACACGCCGTAGACTAATCTGACCGCCTTCCTTTCCGCCGCCAAAGTCGTTCGATTATTCCGGGGGAGGTTTTGGCTCCAGCACGTCACCAAGGCGCGTTGAGTAATAACCTCAGTTTTCGTTTGCCCGTTTGCCCGTTAGCTTAGTTAGCTCTATCTCTCTTTTTCCATCTCAATCTTTCGATAGCGGTAGTGCGCCGCGCCAAACTATGAGCTTAAATTACGCCGCCTCATCACGCCAGATCAGACACATAAACCACACAGACGGCGCTTCGTTGGAACACTTGGAAGCTCGTTTTCGTTGTTCTACGCGAGCACTAGAAGGCCGCTACCGCTACGTTATAATCCACTTTTGCTCTGGCTCGAGACCACTAAGTTTCCTGCAACACGGCAACAGGGCGACTTAGTCAAGGGACCGATGTACACAAGATTGAAAGTGGACCGCAGCCAAAGTATCCGTACCCGGTGACAGCCTCTAACAGACGGGCTCGCTCCCAGTCTCCCGCCTGTCTGCTCTTGGGTGGAGAATCATGGAAACTGGAATTGAGGGATTGCGGGCTTCGAGAAACCACATCTCTCACCCCCCTACGCCCTGGCAGAAATGAGGGCTTTGGAGTCTGTGAACATGCTTTTCTAACTGCTGTGGGGAGGTTTGGCTTTCCGCTCATCCCATACCCAAGAGCCACGAAGATAGGTTAGTGTAAGGAGTAACTTGCGTGCGTTGCGGCGCGTTGTGTTCTCTGTACGCAACGTGCAGGACCAAAAGACATGCGCGTTCGCTGTTTCTGCCCTCTTCTAAAACATGGCTGTACAGCAAGCGCGGCCCCAGATTCGATCCAGATTTGGGAATACTTTGGTTCACCTCCGAAATCAAAAAAGAAAAATCCCACATGGCTGACACGCCGCCGTTTTCTCCCCAATTCCGCCTCGGAAGCGGACAGGTTCCCCGTCTCACTTTTCCCCCCTTTGCTCTCTCTCTCCCTCCCCCGTGCCTCCTTGATTCTGCCTCAAGGGACGCTGTGCGTTGCGGCTAGTTAAGGTTTGTGTGTGCGTATCTACGTGTGCGTGTATCCGTTAAAAGTGTCTGTGTGTACCCTTACCACGGTGTATCTTCCACAGTTCGCCTTTGATGAAGACTGGGCATGCTGGCTGCTGCGGCGGCGGCGAAAAGAAGAGGTCTTGAACCGAGACGAAAAAGATCGACTTTCTTGGAGGATCTGCTCATTGTCCGTCCATCCCCTTGCTTCGCCAAAGGCAGTCTGCCGGGGTCGGGAGTCATCCGTCGCCCATCAACCCATCACCATGCCCATCGCTTCTGTGTCCGTACCCGTTACCCGTTACCGTCCCCTGCCTTGCCTCTGTCGGTTCTCCTCTCTGGCCGCCTCTTGATCCAGTCCTCGGCCCATTACCCATTGCTCTCCCCGTCGAAGAGGATATTGACGATCGAGGGTGTACGTGAAGAGACATAGACTGAGTGAGAGACAAGATAATCCACTCGGCCGGTCAGTCATCAAGTAAGTTGCCGCCGTCAGTCAACACACAGACATACGCCAATCTTCCAAGAGTTTTTACGGCTTCTTGCTCGTTACTGCGCCGTATCTCGCGAAACCGCTCGCTGTCTCTCTGAGTCTCTATCTCGTCTGGCCCCCTGCAATTAGAATAGCACACTACCGCGATCCTTGTTCTCGCTCGCTCTCTCTCACTCACCTCCCCCCCACCAGATATCCCGACCCTTCTTTTTCTTCGCGGCCGGCCAACTCAATAGACGCACCCCTGGGGCCCTACCCTCCATTCCGTCCCGCTTCCCTTTGGGACGCCCTCCCCCGCAGCAGCCTTTCCTCAGGCCCTTTTTTGGTGTCCGCAGTGGAATGGGGGAAGTAAAAGAGAGGGGACAGAAAGCGAGCAAGCTAAGAGAGAGAGGAGAGGTGAACTGTGAGAGAAAGCCAGAGCCCACCGCAGTGCAGTGACCGCACACCCACCACCCTCCTCCTCATCGGCTCATCCACCTCCTCCGGCTCCCCCTTGATCGATGATCTTTTCCATTGGCCGTGGCCTCGGCCGGGCTTCTCGACAACGGTCATGCGTTCATCCGTGGAGTCGACACAGAGCTAATGTCACAGAGGACCCAATGAGCGTCATGCAGATATCCCAGCCGAGATGCCTCTTTCGCTCCTTGATTTCTTTTTTTCTTACTTTTCCCGAGCCGTCTCTTCGATTCTTTCTCCCTCTGCCGTCTTGCGTAAGTACGCAGTAATATGTGTCAAGGGCTTCCGAGAGAGAGAGGCATGTACGTATGATGTCGGGGCCGAGGAGGAGGAGGAGGAGGAGGAGGAGGGGCTTTGGTCAACCATCTGTCCCTGTGCAATATCGTGTGTATCCGTAACTTGCAAGTATACAGGGAACCTTGAGGTGGTTTGTGATCCCCCTTCGCCTCGATGCGAGATCCATAGTATCATTATTTTTGGGGCCAAGCAGACAACCTTCGGCCGCGCCTTTCGGTGCCTGTGCCTGTGCCTTGCGCTTGTGCCCGTCTGGTACCTGAGCTTTTTTCTTGAACCCAGCTCTGGGTTCAGGTTCAGGTTCTTTTTTTGATCTCTCTGCGGCCGCTCCAAGCCAAGGGCCAATTTTGTTTTTTTGGGAAAATGGGAATAGGCGAGGGAAAAGGGAGAGCCCCCGTTCAACCCTGTCTCATTCCCTCCTCTCCATTGCTCCAAAACCGCCCACCTGGTTCTGTACTGATTCAGGTGTCGACATCAGCCTGCCTATTCAGGCCTTCACAGACAAGGTGACCCCGTTTCATCATGGGCTGCTCAACTCTGCTCAGCTGGCACGCCGCTGCAAGAAATCTGTCATCTCAATGTGGGATATCTCTCTTATTTTTGCCTTTACCAACACGGGCCAAGGGTCAGGTATCTCGCTCGCTCACTCACTCACTCACACATACTGTGTGCTCTCTCCCTCTTTCGCTCGCTCGCGCTAAGCCGTGCTGGGTTGGGAATGACGGAATGGTGTTGGGTAGTTTATGGGTTCCAGGGCATTCAATGGCAGCACGGCATTAGCCATTCAGCCGAAAATCTTAAGGCCATGGGCTGTGGTGATATAGTTGCTACCATCGTCCGGTTCATCTGTCACTTCGCTTTGAGCGATCCCCCAGGCTCAGCCCAGGTCTTCTTCTCGAACACACAGGGTGGACACTGGAAGAGGAGGAGAAGGAGGAGGAGGGTACCACTGTAGGAACTTGGTACTGCTTGGGAAGAAGGCTAGACGTGGTGGACGGAAATATCCACACCCATACCACATTTACACGCACAGATGCATGTGGCTCAGCAGAGCAGCAGCATCAACAACAGCATCCCGCGACAAGAGCAACAGCTGGTATTAGCTGCCCACCCACGTTCGCGCGTGCTCCGACTGACTTGTTGATGCCAGGAACTGCTGCGGGTGCTGCTGGTGCTGCTCTCCCAGACCACCTTGCCCACCCCTCCCCCTACCCTACCCTACAGATCCATCCCCTACCCTGCAGTCCCCTTCCCTCCCCGTCTGTCCATATCCACATGGACAAATCTACATCCACATCCACATCCCAAATACATACACCCACGTCCAAGCCGGGGGCCTGGGGCCTGGCGGCGGCGACGGCGGCGGGCGGGCAAAGCTCGATGCCATGGCATACCTATCCGTACCCGCCTGGCATGGCATGGCATGGCATGAGCTGCTGCTTGTGCTTCTACTTCTGCTTCTCTGCTACGGATACTGCTGCTGCGGCTTTCCTCTCTCGAGTCGGCGAGCCTTAAACCATGTATCGGGTCCCTTTTCAACCATCTCATTCCCCACTGCTACGGTACCTGAGTACCCTCTTCAACCCCAGTCATCCTCGTCCTCCTCGACGCCACCAGTCAGGTACCGAGTACCCTCGAACCCTCGTCGTTGAACCAGCCGTCATTCCTCCCCCCCATCGTGGCCGCTGCTGCTGGCTCCCCGTGCTGGCCCTGGCTCGAGTCCCAAGTCCTCCTGTCCGGATCCAGCCTCGACATTTCTCCGTATGGATGGCCGTACCCTTCGGTATTAATTCCACCTCTGTCAAACTAAGGAGCAAGGGCTTCCTTACAAGACCGCCTTATTACAACCACGGGTATCCTTCAAACTTGCCATACATAACGGGGCCTGTCAGTTCCAGGCCCAGGAACGCCTCTCAGTCGATCGACCCCGCCATACTATCAGTTGGCACACCCTCAAATTTATACAATATATGATCGATCCTACCTCGTGGGACCTGGGGTAGCCAAGTCCTCTTTCCCTTTTTCATCATCTTCTCTTCCTTTTCCCAAAACGACTTGACGCATCAACGCATCATCCCCTCTCTCTATCTATATATCACTCTCACTCTTACACTCTCTCTTTTGATTAACTTGTTAAGAACCATCTCGGGACGGACCCAACTGCAAGGCCAGACACCTTGACCTTCCGACATCAACCTTACCTTGAATCATCAACATAGAGTGCTGTTATATTACCACTATCGGTTGCTTTTGTCGTACACCTTCTAGCTCATCTAGATCTCGACAAACATCGATAGCTTCCAACACAATCCCTCCAAACACTCCTTTCCCATCTGTCCTAGATTCAACCTCATCTCAGGACATTCTCTCTCCGGAGAGACCCAGATCGTCCTTGTACCAGCTCGAAACAAGACAACCACTTCATAAACCGAAACCACCACACCTGTCCCAATGCTTGTTACCAGGCAGTTTGACACCACCGAGCAGAGCCACTGGTCCTACAGCAAATTTGAGACTCCCCTCCACAAGGCCCCTTCCACTCCTCCACGCATGTCGAACCAGTTCGAAGCTCCGTTGCCCACGCCTCCCGAGTGGCAAGGGCAGCAGTACTCTTACCTCCCAGGGCCGGAAAACAACGTCTTCTCCCAGGCGTACGGAGCTGGCAATGAGACTTCGGATGCGTCGCAACCTCGCACTGCAACCGGCGCCCCTGCACAAGTAGAGATCCAGACGAAGCAAGAACCTGGTCTGGAAAACCGCGGAACAGCAGACCCCCTTGGACTTCGTCAAGTGAAGCAGCCCACTCCGGAAGACGAGCCAGAGGACAGACAGCAGCAACAGCAACAGCAGGAACAGCGACAGGCATCGCAGTCCTTGGAGAAGACCGCAGAGTCGGTATCTCAGGAATCTCCGGCGTCGACAGATATGCAGGGTCAGACAATGATCTCAAACCCGGCTTCATCAACAGAGCTCGGTGCCGATGTGTCTGCATCCCAGATGGACAATGATGAGGGTAGCTTGAGCAAGGACGAGGACGACGACGTGCTTGACGATGATGATATGCTCGACGACGGCGATGGAACCCCACAGACGGCCGCAGAGCGGACAGCAGCCCGGAGGAAGATGAAGCGTTTCCGGTTAGTTGAAGCAGACATGAGGCATTGTCAGCGGTATACTAACCACGACGATAGTCTCACACACCAACAGACGAGATTCCTCATGAGTGAATTTGCTAAGCAGCCTCACCCTGATGCCGCCCACAGAGAACGTCTGTCAAGAGAGATCCCCGGCCTGAGCCCCCGTCAAGTACAAGTCTGGTTCCAGAACCGGTGAGTTTGCTCACAACCCAACAACCATAAAGAGACAGTGGAACTAATCCTGTTCATCAAACAGCCGTGCGAAGATTAAGCGTCTTACAGCCGATGACCGTGACCGCATGATCAAGATGCGTGCGGTCCCCGACGACTTTGACAATGTTCAGGCTCTTCACTCCCCCTACGGCGCGGTCCACGGTCTCAACACTCCTATGTCGTCCCCCATGAACTTTGGAACACAGTCATACGCCGACCACATGATTCGTCCTTTGATGGTCGACGTCCGCAGGGCAGAGGGTGGCGAGGAGCACATGTCGTCTACGGGACTCAGCCCTGGATTTGGAAGCATCGGATTCACTCCCCCGGGAACCATGAGCAGCCCAGATATCCTGTCTCCCATGACACCCAACTCGACCGGCGACCACCGCTACGGATACGGCAGCCACCTGTCGCCCATGGGCCCCGGTCCCCGAACCTCAAACCCCTTTGCGCGACAGGGTGCCCTCGAGAACTCCATGTCCATGCACCGCGGCCAGCCCAGCCGACCTCTCCAGCCTCTCCAGCTCCGCGAGACCATGAACCGGTCAAGGTCGGACCTCAACTCTCCTCTCCGCTCCAGCATGTCCTGGAAGGGCGACGCGATCGACTACAGCACATACCACCACGGAGCTGGCGGCAGCCCTCAGCTGAGTGGAAGACAGCAGTCGGTCTACCAGCCAGAGCAGATGAGCGGCCCCTCAAGCAGCGGCCTCCCTTACGAGTCAAGCTCTTATTCCAGTACGTTATCAACCGGCCATCTCATAGAAACTCGTGTCACTAACCCTGAACGTAGGCAACAACTCACCTCCCGGCATGAACTACTCGAGCTTCCCCGGCGGCCCACCAAACCGCCTCCGCGCCCGCGCCTCATCAGGAACCCTCGGCCTCGACCTCCGCAACCAGTACCGCTCCGTTGGCTCCGTCCCGCCCCCTGGCCACTCCCCGGCCCCTCGCGCCACCTCGGCCCAGTTCGCCTACACCTCCAGCTTGCCCTCGGCCCCGCTCACCGCGCCCGTCGACTTCTCCCTGCCCCGCACGCCCGGCGCCCGACCCGGCGGTGTCCAGGACTATTCGATGCCGCAGATGAGCGCGCCCATCGCAGCGCCCAACGATTTCTCGCAGGCCTTCCACGCCAGCATGAACACCTCCAGCTCGAGGACGCCCATGCGCGACACCTTTGGCGGCGGCGGCCCGATGCCGCCTCATCAGCACCATGGTGCCCACAATGGCGAGTACGCACAGCAGCAGCAGCAGCAGCATCAACATCACCAAGAACAACAGCGTGGAGGAGACGAGTACGGACACGAATTCGGTGCGCTGAAGAGGAAGAGAAGCTTCTCAAGCGGAGCACCGGCCGGACCTGGACCCGCACCCGGACCGCAGGCGTACGGGAGCACAGCATAAAGAAAGAAAAAGAAACAAAAAAAAAAAAACACACAAACTTCATTTGACTAGACTTTTGGAAAGTTGGCCAACCCCCCCCCAAAGATACCCCAAGGCAAAGGAAGGGAGGAAGAGACAAAGGGAAGGGGGAAATCGGAAACATTTGCTTTGGTCTTTTTTGGGTCGGAAAATCTGATATTTTACCTGTTCTTAGAATAAGGGGGTGCGAGCGCGCTGCTCCAACGACATGACTCTCTCTTGCGTTTGTTGTTTTTTTGTTTGGCCTGTTTTGGTCCTTTTTTTTTTCTACTTCTTGGGTTTCTTGTATGATGAGACGAAAGCTCACAATTTTCTGTCGTTTTGGTCTTTCTCTTCTGCTCTATGCACATATTACTTTTTTGGCAAACTCCATATATCCCCAAATGACATACAAAAAGGGACCTTTCTGTCTTTTACTGCAACTCCCTCTCTCTCTCCCTCTGCTCTTATCTTGAGTGCTTCCCAAGACTGGGTCAGGGCTTTTCTGTTCTTGAAATTTGTCTCTATCAAAATACCCCCCTCTCCAGACGTCAAAACGTGTTTCGATGTGATTTTTTTGGTTTCCGTTTTTTTTGAGTGTTTTTTTGCAGAACAGGGAAGTCGCTAGTATATACCAATACCACTTTCATTCTTTGAAGACACGATGTGCCTCAAACATGTATGCTCAACCGGTCGTAAAAAAACAAACTACCTAGCCCAAGTCAAACCCCATCAGAGTGAGTTGGGCCGCCATCACAGTCTTGCAGTAGGATTTGAGATCTCACGAGGTCTGGGCTACCTTGAGAACCTGAACAGGTGGGGAGAGAGGGGGAGGGAAAGGGGGGGGGGGGGCGGGTTTCAAGAAGAGGAGGGGAAACAAAAAAAGAAAATATCCCGAGACGGAAGAAAGAAGTGATGGGCTGCAGGTGTAGCTTCGGTTAGCAAGAGAGAGGGAGAGAGAGGTCAGTCACTCCCTACCATCCCGTCTTTACCAATGTTTCCTTTCCAACAATCATGTTTGTGATGGGTTAGTTACCATGGACATTGCCTCGCGTAACTCTGGACGTCTCGTCTCGTCTCATTTCGTCCCGCCCTTGAATACTGAACCGAGGTCGAGATATGAGTTTTCGCTACCTTGCCTACAGCCGAATGCCCCTTCCCAAAAATCATAGCCAAAACAGCGAGTGTAAAGGAAGCTTTCGACTCAAAAAAGGTTGTGCCAGATCAAGCAAGTGGTCGATTCGTCCCTTTGAATCGAAGAAGCTAGACTGTAGGCCAACATGCTGACGATTCTTCGAAAGCTTGCGCTTGTTGGTCAGGAGTAGGATCCCTCCACCAATCTGCCCCCCGGTTCCTCATCACCGGAAACTAGTTGCGATCCGGCCGAAAGCGTCCACATGCTGCAATCTGGTTGGTCCCCGCCTGCCCGTCCGCTGCCTCCGCCGGCTTCATTCTCGGCGGTGTTGGTCCGGGCAAGGGGGGAGGGGGGGGGGATCACGGGATCTGGCAAGACGGACGAGCTCGCCGGTTCCTCCCCCACAATCCTACTCTTTTTTTGACCTCTTGTTTTGAATGGAGGGATCTTCTTGTTTTTGCTCTTACCAACACCAAGTAGACAGTGGGCATACCTTTCTGGGAGTTGCAAGATCCCCTAACCCCTGATGTCCCGCAGCCGGGCCTACTGCAGCTTACCTTACCTACGAACTTAACCCGACCAGACGGAGGCCATCCAAGGCTACTTGGGGCCCTTTGAAAAGAGCGATGAGACTCTCCAGATCGAGGATACAACCTCGTGAGTCCGAGGAGGTAGTAGATAATGCTACGCAGTATGCTCATCCTCCTTCTAAAGGAATAGGCAGAAGATGATGATTGAAGCCATACCGAAGACCCAATGCCAGTAAGCTTTCTTGCCAAGTCCGCCTGCCTTTGCGTACCCTGGATGAGTCCTTCGTGCGCTTGATTATCCCCCACGCACCCCTCCTCCATTCACTACTCGAGCGGTCGAGATCGGCTTCGTCGGAGTCGACTGGATTAAGCTTAAGCTCCAAGGAACTGAAGCCAACGCGCCTGGTCCTTTATGGACGGTTACACGCCCCCTCCTTCCTCCCCTTCCTGCGAAGCCATGCCTTCTGCCCGGGATGGCTTCGCAGGAAGGGGATATGAGTGGCGGGGGACGATGCTGGTGTTATTCGAATATTCCCTGTCTCAAGGCAGAAAGGAGAAGTACCAACTACTTACACAGTTTCTCCTCTTTTTGTTGGTTTCTGATCACATTGTTGATGTGCACATTTCCCACTTGCTAATCCCTGCCGTGGCTGTCTGTGCAGTGTGAGCCAAGCGTACAACCATCAGCCCATTGTCGCCTCTTCTCCGTCTCTTCTCAGTAGACCGAGTGTCATTATGATGGGTAAAGTTACCGCTAAACATTCAAGCAGTGAGCCTACACAAGCATACAAGGTAACAGCAGCTGTTGTCTCTCTCCAGGTACTACCCCAAGCCATGCTGCGGTGTGGCAAAGATCCGCGGCCCTCTGAATCGTGCCGTGAGCATCGGATCTGCCACGATACACAGGCAACATTCTTGAATCGCGTGTCTTTAGCCGATGAAGATGTGAGCCCCTCTGGCCTGCGCTGTCCTTGACTTATCGGCCTTACATCACTTGCGTGCTGAGGCGAAACCTCTGTGGAGTACACGAGAGACATGTGGTTTCGACGTTGGGCAGCAGGCCACTTCGAGGATGTCTTCGACGTCAGGCCTTTAGGACTCTACTCCGTATGATAGAGGCGGCAAGGAAAAGAGACATTCTGTGGCAGCCACTTGCTACCGTAGCTCATCTGACAGCAGGGATACATGATCCGGGATCCAAGCAGGATTTGTGAGGGCGAAAAAGGGAAAAAGAAAGCATAAAACAAAAAAGGAAGGCCTTTCCCGGATCTGTTGTCTCGGCTGTTCATTCGCGATGTTGCACCTGGTTCCGCACCCTGTATGTGGCAATTGCTTCGAGCCTTCGACAAAGTCGCCCGCTGTGGGATATGAACTCCTCCCGGTGACAGTGACACAGGAATGGTCCGCTTGGGGGGCAGGCAGGTGACCGGCCAATACCCCAACCGCCCGAGAGCTGGATAAATTACCGGAACGTGGTATCAAAGTTAAGCTCCAGCTACCCGAGGGATAGAGTATCAACCTTGTGCTACCCCATGGGAACGAGGCCTTGATGGTACGGGACGTTGTGACCCCCGGATTTTCCATACTTTTGGGGAGGACTGGCGGACTGTACGTCGTGAGGGTTGTCAGATCGATGGAAGGACTGCAGTAGATGTTTACTTACGCGTGGGTATAATCAGCTACATGGGGCCCAGTGAAAGCCAACCTTTGCCGAAGTAATACGGAAGTAGAGATGCGCAAGACATGCAAGAGGCCGCGATTGTCCAGGCCAGCAGCTTCAATGTAGTTGAGTCGGGGAGGAGGGGCGTGTCTTCATCCAGGCTGGGCCAAGGCGATTAGTTCCCGAGGCGTCAGATCGGGCGACAGCTGGCCTGCGTTCGTTCGCAAGAGCACGCTTGGCTCGATGCGTGTATCCGGAGGCAGACGTCCGACGACAGGAGACCGGCCGCCGCAGCATGATAGGTGGAGGGCATAGGGCTCCGCGAGTGCCCAACCACACCATGGCTCTCGCTACTCTGAGGTGCCTCATTGTTCGGTACGATGCGGGGTTCAAGCTAGGAATGAGGCATAGACTACATTTACTGCGTATTCGGTACCGGGCCCTCTTGTTGACCTTGCGGAGATGTGGTGATTGGGTCTCGTGGTTGGGCGACGGAAGTTCCTCATACCTTACCAGGTTCCCCTGCAGGAGACAGCCTATCGCGGAGGACGTTGCCGAGAGAACTTGACGGGAGGGTCGGCGTGACCCCCCGAGTTCATGCCGTCGAAGGCTTCGGGTCCAAGGCGAGCCAATGGCGGAAGGTACTCGATATTGTAAGCTCTCCATGGCGGGGAGAGGTCAGTCAGCTACCGGGCATGGCTCGAGTCTGGGTTCCCATGTGCCGCTAGAAAGAGATTCTCGAACGTTGATGGTTTCTCTCCGAGATGTGAGCTTCGCATCGCGTCGGCCTCAGCCGAAACGAAACAGTAACGTAACGTTAGGCCCAGTAAACAACGAGTGAGCCATGCATGCTTCAACGCTTCATGCCGCGAGGAAGTCAAATGCAAGCTGTAGTCGAGTGGGCGGCTCAGGGTTGCCCGATTACCATCAAATGTAGAGTGTGGCTGAACACCAGGCGACGGCTGAACCGATTGCCGCCCAGCGGTCAGCCCATAACCAGGCGAAAGATGATGTGGGAGAGAAAGTAAAGCGGACGAAGAGTAAGGGATCATGGGGTTGTAGAAGAGAAGTCTGGTCTGGGGCGCACTGACCACCGCCGCATCCTTAATTCCAACGTCCCGTCTCCGTTCCTATCAATAACATAGTAGTCCCTTTTTCTCATCCACCGAACAACATACAGTTTAGGAATTGGAAGCTACAAGACAAATACCTCCAAAGAGTCATGTTCAGACGCAGGTAAGCTTTCCCCCTCCATGGTATCCTCACTCGCTTCTTGGACGACCACAGACAAGCCAGCGTTGTCTTCTCATCAAAGAAGCCAATCACAAAGACCCCGATTGCCTAAACAGGCTTGCGGGGCGTGCTGTGCCGAGCGACGCTGACCGCTCCCACGGCCCAGAAACAATGTGTCAATTCCATTACTGACGTGTGAAGCTGTCCAATTGTTACTTCGGTCAGATTTTACAGTTGCAATCGTGTAAGAAGACCCTGTGCCCCTTCTTCGTTGACATCTTGTCGGGAGACTCACTGTTCCTGAGAAAATTAGACACGGAGCAAGGTACGTCGATACAAGGATCAGCGTCAACTGAACACATATTGTTAGGTGTTGATATACACGCCAGCAGGGCAGCCTTTCCGGCGGCACGAAGTCCAATGATCTGTAGTGAAATGCGTATGT